TTTAAAGCGCCAACAAATCTGCATACTACGTTTGTTGATGCAATTAAAAGTTACTGACTATAGTAATAAAATCCTAAAAAAAGGTATAAAAACAGCAAATTTGTTAAAAAATCATAGTTTAAAAATATCATAGCTAAGCCAAAAAATCATTAATGTTAATTTGGAAAATTGCTCTATGCTAGTTTTTACTAGATTAACCAATCTACATACTCAGTTTTAAAAATTAACAAATTCAATTTTTTGTCGATTTTTTAAAAAAAGAATGATGTAACCCCGTATCAAATTTTTAAATTTTCGCAAAATTTGGAAAATTTTATTTTTCTTCCAGACATAGCTAGATCGATTCAGCAGTTCATCCCGATCAAGAATATATATGATTTATAGGGTCGGAAATGATTCCTTCACTGCGTTTCAATCTTCTGACTGAAATTATATTCTGCAAAAAAGGTATAAAAACAGACAATTTCATTGAAAAATCAATGTTTTCCAAACATCATAATTAAGCCGAAATAGCATTAATTTTGATTCGGAAAGCTTTTCTGTGTGAGTTTTTAAAGCGCCAACAAATCTGCATACTACGTTTGTTGATGCAATTAAAAGTTACTGACTATAGTAATAAAATCCTAAAAAAAGGTATAAAAACAGCAAATTTGTTAAAAAAATCATAGTTTAAAAATCTCATAACTAAGCCAAAAAATCATTAATGTTAATTTGGAAAGTTGCTCTATGCTAGTTTTTACTAGATTAACCAATCTACATACTCAGTTTTAAAAATTAACAAATTCAATTTTTTGTCGATTTTTTAAAAAAAGAATGATGTAACCCCTTATCAAATTTTTAAATTTTCGCAAAATTTGGAAAATTTTATTTTTCTTCCAGACATAGCTAGATCGATTCAGCAGTTCATCGCGATCAAGAATATATATGATTTATAGGGTCGGAAATGATTCCTTCACTGCGTTTCATTTCTGACTGAAATTATATTCTGCAAAAAAGGTATAAAAACAGACAATTTCATTGAAAAATCAATGTTTTCCAAACATCATAATTAAGCCGAAATAGCATTAATTTTGATTCGGAAAGCTTTTCTGTGTGAGTTTTTAAAGCGCCAACAAATCTGCATACTACGTTTGTTGATGCAATTAAAAGTTACTGACTATAGTAATAAAATCCTAAAAAAGGTATAAAAACAGCAAATTTGTTAAAAAAATCATAGTTTAAAAATCTCATAACTAGCCAAAAATCATTAATGTTAATTTGGAAAGCTGCTATATGCTAGTTTTTACTAGATTAACAAATCTGCATACTCAGTTTTAAAAATTAACAAATTCAATTTTTTGTCGATTTTTTAAAAAAAGAATGATGTAACCCCTTATCAAATTTTTAAATTTTCGCAAAATTTGGAAAATTTTATTTTTCTTCCAGACATAGCTAGATCGATTCAGCAGTTCATCCCGATCAAGAATATATATGATTTATAGGGTCGGAAATGATTCCTTCACTGCGTTTCAATCTTCTGACTGAAATTATATTCTGCAAAAAAGGTATAAAAACAGACAATTTCATTGAAAAATCAATGTTTTCCAAACAACATAATTAAGCCGAAATAGCATTAATTTTGATTCGAAAGCTTTTCTGTGTGAGTTTTTAAAGCGCCAACAAATCTGCATACTACGTTTGTTGATGCAATTAAAAGTTACTGACTATAGTAATAAAATCCTAAAAAAGGTATAAAAACAGCAAATTTGTTCAAAAAATCATAGTTTAAGAATCTCATAACTAAGCCAAAAATCATTAATGTTAATTTGGAAAGCTGCTCTATGCTAGTTTTTAGTAGATTAACAAATCTGCATACTCAGTTTTAAAAATTAACAAATTCAATTTTTTGTCGATTTTTTAAAAAAGAATGATGTAACCCCTTATCAAATTTTTAAATTTTCGCAAAATTTGGAAAATTTTATTTTTCTTCCAGACATAGCTAGATCGATTCAGCAGTTCATCCCGATCAAGAATATATATGATTTATAGGGTCGGAAATGATTCCTTCACTGCGTTTCAATCTTCTGACTGAAATTATATTCTGCAAAAAAGGTATAAAAACAGACAATTTCATTGAAAAACCAATGTTTTCCAAACATCATAATTAAGCCGAAATAGCATTAATTTTGATTCGGAAAGCTTTTCTGTGTGAGTTTTTAAAGCGCCAACAAATCTGCATACTACGTTTGTTGATGCAATTAAAAGTTACTGACTATAGTAATAAAATCCTAAAAAAGGTATAAAAACAGCAAATTTGTTAAAAAATCATAGTTTAAAAATCTCATAACTATGCCAAAAAATCATTAATGTTAATTTGGAAAGCTGCTATATGCTAGTTTTTACTAGATTAACAAATCTGCATACTCAGTTTTAAAAATTAACAAATTCAATTTTTTGTCGATTTTTTAAAAAAAGAATGATGTAACCCCTTATCAAATTTTTAAATTTTCGCAAAATTTGGAAAATTTTATTTTTCTTCCAGACATAGCTAGATCGATTCAGCAGTTCATCCCGATCAAGAATATATATGATTTATAGGGTCGGAAATGATTCCTTCACTGCGTTTCAATCTTCTGACTGAAATTATATTCTGCAAAAAAGGTATAAAAACAGACAATTTCATTGAAAAATCAATGTTTTCCAAACACATAATTAAGCCGAAATAGCATTAATTTTGATTCGAAAGCTTTTCTGTGTGAGTTTTTAAAGCGCCAACAAATCTGCATACTACGTTTGTTGATGCAATTAAAAGTTACTGACTATAGTAATAAAATCCTAAAAAAAGGTATAAAAACAGCAAATTTGTTCAAAAAATCATAGTTTAAGAATCTCATAACTAAGCCAAAAAATCATTAATGTTAATTTGGAAAGCTGCTCTATGCTAGTTTTTAGTAGATTAACAAATCTGCATACTCAGTTTTAAAAATTAACAAATTCAATTTTTTGTCGATTTTTTAAAAAAAGAATGATGTAACCCCTTATCAAATTTTTAAATTTTCGCAAAATTTGGAAAATTTTATTTTTCTTCCAGACATAGCTAGATCGATTCAGCAGTTCATCCCGATCAAGAATATATATGATTTATAGGGTCGGAAATGATTCCTTCACTGCGTTTCAATCTTCTGACTGAAATTATATTCTGCAAAAAAGGTATAAAAACAGACAATTTCATTGAAAAATCAATGTTTTCCAAACATCATAATTAAGCCGAAATAGCATTAATTTTGATTCGAAAAGCTTTTCTGTGTGAGTTTTTAAAGCGCCAACAAATCTGCATACTACGTTTGTTGATGCAATTAAAAGTTACTGACTAAAGTAATAAGATCCTGAAAAAAGGTATAAAAACAGCAAATTTGTTCAAAAAATCATAGTTTAAGAATCTCATAACTAAGCCAAAAAATCATTAATGTTAATTTGGAAAGCTGCTCTATGCTAGTTTTTAGTAGATTAACAAATCTGCATACTCAGTTTTAAAAATTAACAAATTCAATTTTTTGTCGATTTTTTAAAAAAAGAATGATGTAACCCCTTATCAAATTTTTAAATTTTCGCAAAATTTGGAAAATTTTATTTTTCTTCCAGACATAGCTAGATCGATTCAGCAGTTCATCCCGATCAAGAATATATATGATTTATAGGGTCGGAAATGATTCCTTCACTGCGTTTCAATCTTCTGACTGAAATTATATTCTGCAAAAAAGGTATAAAAACAGACAATTTCATTGAAAAATCAATGTTTTCCAAACATCATAATTAAGCCGAAATAGCATTAATTTTGATTCGGAAAGCTTTTCTGTGTGAGTTTTTAAAGCGCCAACAAATCTGCATACTACGTTTGTTGATGCAATTAAAAGTTACTGACTATAGTAATAAAATCCTAAAAAAAGGTATAAAAACAGCAAATTTGTTCAAAAAATCATAGTTTAAGAATCTCATAACTAAGCCAAAAAATCATTAATGTTAATTTGGAAAGCTGCTCTAGTTTTTACTAGATTAACAAGTCTGCATACTCAGTTTTAAAAATTAACAAATTCAATTTTTTGTCGATTTTTTAAAAAAAGATGATGTAACCCCTTATCAAATTTTTAAATTTTCGCAAAATTTGGAAAATTTTATTTTTCTTCCAGGCATAGCTAGATCGATTTAGCAGTTCATCCTGATCAAGAATATATATGATTTATAGGGTCGGAAATAATTCCTTCACTGCGTTTCAATCTTCTGACTGAAATTATATTCTGCAAAAAAGGTATAAAAACAGACAATTTCATTGAAAAATCAATGTTTTCCAAACATCATAATTAAGCCGAAATAGCATTAATTTTGATTCGGAAAGCTTTTCTGTGTGAGTTTTTAAAGCGCCAACAAATCTACATACTACGTTTGTTGATGCAATTAAAAGTTACTGACTAAAGTAATAAGATCCTGAAAAAAGGTATAAAAACAGCAAATTTGTTCAAAAAATCGAAGTTTAAGAATCTCATAACTAAGCCAAAAAATCATTAATGTTAATTTGGAAAGCTGCTCTAGTTTTTACTAGATTAACAAGTCTGCATACTCAGTTTTAAAAATTAACAAATTCAATTTTTTGTCGACCCTTATCAAATTTTTAAATTTTCGCAAAATTTGGAAAATTTTATTTTTCTTCCAGGCATAGCTAGATCGATTTAGCAGTTCATCCTGATCAAGAATATATATGATTTATAGGGTCGGAAATGATTCCTTCACAGCGTTACAACCTTCTGACTGAAAATATAATACCTTTCCTTAACACGATTTTCCTATAAATATTTCAAAAAAATTGATGTATAAAGACACATTTTGTCGCTCCTTTTGTTGGCTTAGAATAACCAATACCCTTTGTATCCCAAGAACAAACTATAAATAAAATGAAAACAAAGCATTTTATAAATCAATTTTCTTTTATTTTTCATTTCTTCCTGCATTTTTCTTAAATAACACAGTTACTTAAACTGCACATTATTACGAAATAGCTCTAGGATTTGTTGCTCCGGAAGTGCCCACCTGCACTGCGGATACTTAATATTGCAGTGATGAGGCGACGTCTCTTTGCCCGCATCGATGGCCTCCCGGAAGGCGGACTGCTCCAGCCAGGTTAGCAGCCAGGACCAATTGGTTGCTCCGTCCAGCAGGTGCTCCATATCCGAGGCTTGACCTTGACGAACCTTATCCCCAGCGCTGCGGGTCAGAGAGCAAACGGATTTCAGCAGGCAAGCCGACAGATCAACGTCGTTATTCAGAAAGGAGTGTTCAATGGTGGCCAAAAGATTGGGAAGACTGGTGGCTAAGGGAGGGAAAGTTGGATTTAATCGGTATTAAAATAAGTTTTAAAATAATTGAAATAAAATAAAATATATACACACCCACTCGTTCTCCAGTTTCATTGCGATATATAAGCTTGAAGTTGTCAAAGATCTTGGGAAGGCTTAGCTCCTCTTCGAAAAGTCCTCTGTAGGTGGCATTGGTAGCACTTTGAGTTGTGGATGATGTGGACGAGTCCTCCTCCTCCGAAACCTTGGTATTGTTACTGGAAACATTTCCCAGAATGGGCTTATGATCATCTTCCGTGATGGTCTCTAATCCCATGCTCCGAATCAGGTGACCCACGAGGAGTCCTCCTGCAACCACCAGTCCACAGCTAAGAACTGCCGCAGAGTTCACTACAACGAGGGGCTTTTAGGCAAGGAAATTATTAAATTCGTATTAAAATATGCCACAGATATTATCCACTTACCTTGGGTGGAGCATTCCGCTTCCGCTTTACGGGAATTTCCACAAAGGGCAAAAGATAATCCAGTCCCAAAGCGATATGTTTGCCCACGGCATCAAAGGACAGCAGCTTGAATCCTTGGCCATGATGAGGGTTCTGCTTCAGGTGCTGCTGCCTTGGAAGCTTATGGGATCCTTTCTGTGCCTCCGATTCCTCCTCGGCACTGGCTGCCCAAATGACGACACAAGTGGCCAGGAGAGTGCAGGTTAGGTAATATAGCTTCATTTTCCCGCTGACACATCCGAAGCGTTCCGTGGCTGTTGGATATCTGAATACGAATTTCCCAGACAGTGTCACCCGTAAACTTTTCATATGCAGCCGACGATCTGCTTCGATGGGTTTTATGTGCACTGGAAAGAATGAAAGCAAAGTTGAGCAATAATAGAATCTTGTACAGTGTTACATAATCAGGTTTGTTAATCTAGTAAAAACTATCATAGAGCAGCTTTCCAAATTAACATTAATGATTTTTTGGCTTAGTTATGAGATTCTTAAACTATGATTTTTTGAACAAATTTGCTGTTTTTATACCTTTTTTAGGATTTTATTACTTGAGTCAGTAACTTTTAATTGCATCAAAAAACGTAGTATGCAGATTTGTTAGCGCTTTAAAAACTCACACAGAAAAGCTTTCCGAATCAAAATTATGCTATTTCGGCTTAATTATGATGCTTGGAAAACATTGATTTTTCAATAAAATTGTACGTTTTTATACATTTTAAATTTGAAAATAAATTTATATTTTTATTTATGAAAATAGCACTATATATCCATGAAAATCGTTTATATATAACTCATTTTTTTCTGTGTACCTTTCGGTTATCGCTTGGCTGCTCCTGGGTTGGGAACACTTAAGTTAGGTTCCCACTCTTGTCGTGAGCCACAAAATGCAACAAATTGGTGACATAACCAGTTGTTGGAAGGTGCCAAAACGATTAGCCGGAGGAAATGCCGGCAGAAAGCGGAAGATGCCACATGACTACCTTCTCTAATTGGAGAGAAGTGGCTGCAATTAATCCAATTTTCTGGCAATCTCTCTACATAAGAAAATAGCGATACCACTGATAATGGATTTACTAATGTCAGGTACTTTTTATTAATATAAAAAAAAAACAGGGTTATAATTTTAAGCTCTATTTTAATGAGTATTTTATTTAAATTGTAATAAATTAATATGCTTCATTATAATTATAGAAATCTAGATATTATTATCCATTGAAGAACTGCAGTATTTGTGGCAGCGATCCCGATGTCCAGTTTAAACGTTTGGGCCATCTGCAGTTGCGGAATGTATGGGAACAACTGCGATTGCTTCTGGAGGATTGAACGGCCTGGAAAACTGCAGTTCCTTGCACATAGGATGGAAGCCAGGAAGAGCTGCAAAGTGAGCAAATATTGATATAGTTAAATACACAATTCTTTAGTAATTAAGCTTTCCTCACCTGGCCAACACATTGAGAACTCTCGCATATCCAGACGACAAATTCCTTTGCAGATACTGGCAGATGAGCTGCTGAACGCAGATGGTCATGTCGATATTATGTTCCTCCAGTTGGGATTCCACCACATCAGTCAGTCTCCGCACTATCCAAAAGTAAACCAATTCAGTATCACTTTAAGACTTTAGTTCCTTCTACTTACTGCCCCTGCCGGTATCTGATTTGTAGCCATAACCATTGCCCAGCGAGGTGATCACCAGGGGAGCCAGAAGAAGACGCACCACAGCTGCTATGACCGCTCCAGCAGCCACCACCACAACAGTATTCAGAATTGCTCCCGTTCGGAGATTGAGGAGACTCTGGACAGCATCTCGGGCCAGGTTCATGCTCCTTTTTACGGGCACTTTCAGGAATGGAACAATAAACTCCAGCTCCACACTCACATCCTCACCGCTAGCATGGAAATGAAAGCCACGTCCCTCGCGCTCCACTCCTGGCAGGGTATCCTCCTCCAAAATGTAGGCCACATTTCTGGGTTCTCGTGGTTCAAAGTCGCGGAATCGCAGTAACCTGGGAGCACTGGCATTCCCGTAAAAGTCTCCATAAGCCGGGTTCAGTAGGTCGCCTCCCTCGACACTTTCACTGTGGTAACCCACTGGCAGAAGTAGAGCCATTATTCCCAGCAGGCACAAGATCCGCACCAATCCGCACATGCTGTCACTAAAGCAGTTGGAATTCATCTAAGCTGCGCTCCAAGCAACGAAGTTCGCTTTGTAAGCTCCTCGGTTGGGAATTACATGGCCCACACGCTTCGGCAATCAAGATATGATATTCATTTAGCCTGAAACTTGGAGACTTTGAGTCTTGGCAGCGACTTTAACGCTTCGCGGATTGCAATTCGGGTTGGAAAATAGCAAACGGAAAATGGAAAATGGGTAGCGATTTTATTGAATAACGATAACTGATTTGTGCGAAATGATAAGGAAAGGAAGCAAATGCAAACTTAAAGAAGAGATTCAACAGATTTAAATTATCGCAGATGGTGGCTACGATAAAGCAGAAGCAACGGACCGCACCTGAAGATACAGAGAAAAAGTTACTTTAACTTTAAAAAACTTAAAACTACATATTTATCATTGGTTTCTTGGCCTTCGTATATCACCAAGAAAACATGAAATATGTGTATTTTAAGTGTATTAAATCTTTATTTGTATGTGGTATATATTTTTGGGTAAATTCAAGTTTTTCAAATGTAATAACTATGCCAAAAAAGCATTAATTTCAATTTGGAAAGCGTTTCTGTGCTAGTTTTTATACGGCCAACAAATCTGCATACTTAGTTTTTAAATTTTAAATATTCAATATTTTGCCAAATTTTGACAATTTTAATGATGTAACCCCTTATAAAATGTTCAAATTTCGAAAAATTTTCAAAATTTTGTATTTCCACCTGACATGGCTATATCGATTCGTTTTTCGATGCTGATCAAGAATATATATGATTTATAGGATCGGAAATGACTCCTTCACTGATTTTTAAGCTTCTGACTGAAATAATAATGCCCGGCAAAAGTATACAAATATCGTTGAATTAAATAATAATGTATGCTGTTTTCTTGATATCTTTTTAGTATAATAATTTGCATTAATAATAAAAAATATAAAATTTCTTACAGTGCTCCATAAAATCGCCGCAAAGTTGCCCTATTAGAAAGACATTTGCGGTTGACTATGGACCGGAAAATTCATCATATGCCATAAAGGGAATCCGCTCACATGGGCGGCAGTTATATCATCAACTAAGCGACAAAGGTTAGATAAACAAATCGGGATTGAGCAAGGCCCTCTGGGAAATACTTACAAGACTTCCTTGCTACCTTTCATGGCACCTGCAATTTTAGCCGGTAAATGTGTGTTAAAGTGTTAAGGTTAGATAAACAAACCGGGCTTGGAGTAATGACCTCAATGAGACTATTAGTGAAGATTTGCATATTGCAGTAAAGATTTCTTCAGCATTAAGGTCTCTTGAAAGGTTAGGTAAGCAACATAATGATTTCAAAGCCTTGATGAGGGGTTGTATTAAATGGAGTTTTGGTTTGATATTTGTAACTATAAATTAAATATTAATAACTGATGATTTTTCCAAGAAAACCCTTTCCCAAAAGAAACTCAATTTTATAAAAACTTGTAATTTTACGCGGTTACTACAGATTATCGAAATATTGTGTTTGATGGGCTATAACCATCAATGAGAGGGGATGTTATGTGGATAAGTGAACGACCCTGTCCAGAATGGTGAGTAAACCTTAGGGATCATAGCTGTCTGAGGAACGCGGTCCAATGCTGGGATCAAATTTGACCAACTTATCGGTCCGTCTCTTGACCCTTCTCCGCTTCCGTTCCTTCTCCTTTTCCAGGGCCCAAGGCTCCTGGCGTTGTGGTGCTGTCGGTGGATAAGCAGCTTGATCCAAACGTCGCATATGATCGCCACTCAGCGGCAACTCCGAATCCGTGGAGTAATTGGGCGGCGAATGGTTTTCCGGAGTTATCAGTCGTATTGGTGGAAAGTTGTTATTGAGACGATTGTAGACAATTGAGTCGTGGTAATCATGTCCTGCGAATCCTCCAGTCGCACGTTTCTTGCCTGCCTTCTTTTTTTTCTTCTTGATGTTGCGCATCTTGGGGGGCTTGGGTACCTCATGGATAACACCCTTGCCGTAAACCCAATTAAAGGTGTCCTTTCGCTCGCCCATCACACAGCTGGCATACTGAACCTCGGGATGAGGTGGATGTGGGAAGAGACTCGGTGATGCCCAGTCCTTTTCATCGTATTGCGTCTCGGTGTGCTTGATGTGGCTGCTCTTGAGCCGCTCCGGATGCATCAGGCCAGCGGGTGGTGTGACACCAAATTCAAACTCCGACTCACTGTCCGATGTATCCGACATCACCAGGTCGTCCTCGCAGGGCTCCATGTGGCGGCGCTGGCACTCCTCCTGGAGGTGTTGGACCAAAAGGTTCTTGTCCACGAAACTGCGGCAATAGCATTGCATGACCGGCCTGTGGCAGGTGCATTTGCTAAAGCCCATGCCCTTGAGACAGCGCTTCAACTCGCGCTGCTTCTTCAGCAGCGGATCCTTTACGATCCGGAACTGTACGGGCTTCATGTCCACGTAGGGATTGGCGGAGCGGGCCAAAGCATTTGCTTCCTTCAGTGGACGCAGGGTAATAGTGTAGACGTCATTCTTCTTCTCGATGTTCAGCGTGGGCACCTGGACGAGATCCTCAGACCTCTCGGCTGGCGGCGACTTTGTCTTTTTATGGCTGTAATAGGACATGTACTTGGACATCGGGATAGTGTCCACGGGATAGTCCTTGAGGAAGTAGCTCATCAGTTCACGTATGGAACGTCGAATGGCTCCGGGTCGCCATCCTGGAATGGTGGCTAACGGATGAGCAGTCCACAGCCAGCCCATGTGAGAGGGTACCTTCACTTCCGAGGGTGGCCGATCCTGCCTGACTCTGATCCTGTTCTGGGGAGAGTACATGCTATAGTATTTGGACTTTATGTGTCTCTTATTTGTTTTTCGTCGTTTTCCTTTCTTTTTCTTGTTCCCCTCGCTGGAATCCTTGGCACTAGAGGGTGCAGCGCTCGTTTTGCTCGTCTTGTTTCCCGCCACCGACAAGCGACTCTTGCCCTTCTTGCCTTTGGCCAGCTTGCAGGCCTCTGAGCATATATCCTGGATCTTCTGTCCCTCGTCGACGTCCTTTACTTTGAAAAGCTCTTTCAGTTCGGCAAAGACCTTGACTAGGTCCTGTGGCCGGGATTCGCCGTGATGCTTATCCCCCTTGTTTGGTTTCTGGCTCACCGACGGGCAGACCTGGGGCTTGGAGGACTCGCGGATGCTGCGCTTCAGAGCCAGGAAGTCACGCACCACATCCTCGAAGGCCTCTGAGGTGCTTCCGGGATCTTTGGCCTTACCTCCATCGCCGGAACACCCTTCCACCGAACCGAGGTCGAAGCTCAGCTCCTCCACGGGGTTGTTGAGATGATTCTGCAGGATCTGCTTAGCGGTGGCATTCTCGTCGTATTCACGCTCCTTGAACTCTGGCACGGCCTTGTAGCCGCAATAAGGACACGCGGCCACATTGGGCAGCCAGGACACATCCTCGCCGCAGAGTATGCAGCACCGAGTGCCGGCAAAGTGCATCTGGCGCAATTTCGGCGTCGACTGAATCTGAACCAATCGGTTCGTGGATCCATCGCCCAGAACGTGTTGCTGCTCTGGCGAGAATTGGGCAGAGGGTCCAGCCGGTGGCTCAATGGTCACATTCACGCAGCCATCGTCCACAGTGGGACAGGAGTAGACGGGAAAGGGCCCCGCCATGTCGATCAGCTGCGGCTGCGGATCCTGCAGGAGAACTCGAGGTAATGGTAATGGATTAAAGTTCCTTAAGGATCTTACCGGAGGGCTGTCACAAATAACTCCTTCCTGGCTGTTAAATGAAGGCGGTGATTCCATATCGCTGGGCATAAAGCCTGCACAGGGATCGAGGGAGGAGGAAGAGCTGTTGCCCTCCGCCATAAACGAGAGATCCTGCGGATTCACGTTCCTATCCTGCTTTCGCTCTGGTGAATTACATCCCCTCTCCTGGCCGCCCGCCGAACGTTCGACCGCAACTCTATTTTGGGGTTCAGGGATCGCATTCAGGGATCAGGCCCGCGTGGAGCTACTTACTCTTTGAGGGTCTGGCAGCGCATCAGCATGGAGAAACGGATGTGAACCAGACCCACGGTGCAGCCGCAGCAGGTGAGCTCTATGTTGGCATCGTGCACAATCTCATCAGTCTGATTGACCATGCGGTTGATCACAGCCCTGGGTACATCATAGCAGCCACGACCTGGACAAGATTGGGTCAAGATATGGACCTGCTTTATCCATTTAAACGCTGATCATACTCACCAATCTCCTTGTTCATGTAGATGAGGGAGATGGCAATGCCCTCGTTGAGCTGCCTTGCCAGGCACTCGGGCTCCATTTGGAATGTCTTCAAGACCTCCGTTGGCAGACCGTTGACATTGATCCGACTGGCATCCAGAACTAACTTGACTCCCTTACAGACATTGGCCCTGACTTGCAGCTTATCCTGACACTCGAACTCCCAGCCTGGCATATCTAGCCTGAGGGCCACCATATTCGTGGCAAAGCAGTTCATATAGTCCCTATTGGGCTTGCCCTTCTGCCCGGGACCCGGACATTTTGGGACGTAGTTGTCGCGATCCTTGACCGGGCAGGAGGAACAGCAACAGGAGGGGCACTTGGCCTTCTTATCTCCCACGGGCTTTTCTACATAGGTGGAGCAGTGCATGTACTCCGACTTCTTAACGGCCATCCGGGTGCTGATCAGGCCACGGTTCTTGTAGTAGGAGTTCCAATCCATCAGCTCCTCCCGTGGCGTCTCCACCGGTTTGGTCTTTGGATCTACGGTTTCGCACATGTTGTAAATTTAGTAACCGGGTCGTTCACGAAACCAAAAATTTGTGTTGCACAATTAATTTATAAAAAAAAAATGTGCCAACGAGCTATTCCACGAGAATTCACATACAAAAAATATATACAATTTTTACCGGGCCTGAAAGCCTGAAGCGATCGACCTAAACCTTCAATAGAGAATGACGAGGATGGGTTGTCAGAGCCGGAAAGGTAAGGCGAAATCCATCTCATGGCATTCTAAATTAGTTATTTTTCAAGCAGAAACGAATAGGAAAATACAATAGCATTTGATATTCCATTTTTTAAAGACAGACTGTGGACAAGTTATCGGAAAGTAGTCAATAAAATTAACGAATGTTATTGCTTAATTATGATATAAATACCATTATGGTTTGATGTTTGTAAATATATAAAAATATAGGTTTCTTGTGAAAGTTGAAAATTAATACCAAATGACCTCGTAAGTTATAGAAAACAAGAAAGGAAACGAACATTGGAAATCCGATGTTTATATAAACTTGCAGTTTGCAATTGAATTATTGAATCGAATCGGAAATCTTTTATAACGAAACTTAAATATTCTTCTTTAATGCAATATTTATCTATATTTTTATATGACATTGTTTTCGACAAATCAAAGTTTTAAAATGCCATAACTCTGCCAAAAATGCATTAATTTTAATTCGGAAACCATTCCTATGTTAGTTTTTGTAAAAATAACAAATGTGCATACTCAGTTTTTAAATTTAAAAAATTCAATTTTTTGTCAAATTTTGACAATTTTAATGATGTAACCCCTTACAAAATTTTCAAATTTCGAAAAATTTTCAAAATTCTATTTTTCCACCGGACATGGCTAGATCGATTCAGCTGTTGATTCTGATCAAGAATATATATAATTTCTAGGGTCGGAAATGGCTCCTTCACACAGTTTCAAGGTTCTGACTAAAATTAAATGGGCTTTTTGTCCCAAGATGTTTCCTAGCGAACCTTCAATATGAGAAGTCCTTTAAACGATATAAAATTTGTGGGAAAAATAAAATGTAAATAAATATCACTTAAAAATAACTTATAAACTTAAATTTATATTTCCTAATAAATAAAAAAGGCAGGAAATGTATAAAACTCAACCTATAGTTAATGCGAGAATCGTTCATACAAATATAAATCCCCTATATAACACATATTCTTAAATATCACACCCATAACAATATCCGATCACAAATACAGATTTTATTAGATTGTCCTTTAATTAAAATTAAAACACTTATTTCTAACGCTATCGTCCTGGGACATTGTAAGTCCACGGCCTGTTCAGGGGCGGAGGATCGAAGCGACGTGGATCGTCATAGCCGCCAGCGCTGCGGAAGGGCAGCTTTTTTTGGGTTTCTTCTTGGACGGATTCTTCAGGATGGGCTTCTTGGGCTCCGCATGGATGTTGCCCTTGCCATAGAGCCAACTGAACTGCTTCTTGCGCTCACCCATCACACAGGCTCCGTACTGGGCGAACATGTTGGCCGGATGCGGAAACATTGAAGGCGCCGCCCAATCGTTCTCCATGTACTGCGTCTCCGCATTGGTCCTGTCCGGTCTCGGTTGACGATCCGGCTTAATGACTCCGGCCGGTGGAGTTACTCCAAACTCGTACTCCCGATCGCTGTCATCATCATCGTCCGCAGAATACGTAAAAGTTTCCGATGTGATGGACCAGCCCCGGCGGCGTGAGATGTAATCCACCTCGTACTGAATGCGCTTCTTGTCGATGTGGGTCCGGCAGAAGCAGTTGGTCAAGGGGCGATCACAGGTGCAGGGAGCAAAGCCCTTGTCCCGCAGGTACTCCCTCAACTCACGGATTGCCACAGCCATGGGATCCTTGGTAATCCGGAAGACCACCGGCTTCATGTCCGCATAAGGATTAGCACTGACCGCCAGAGACTTGGGATCCTTTAGAGGACGCAGAGTGATGACATACTCGTCACCCTTGCGACTGATCTGCAGCGTAGGATGCTGCACCAGTGGCTCCTCCTCCGGCATCTCCTTGCGACCCTTGCGGCGCAAGTAGTGATAGCGCGAAAGGCAAATGTTATCCGCCGGAAAGTCGCGCAGGAAATAGGCCATCATCTGGCGAATGGGCTTGGAAATGGCTCCCGGACGCCAGGATTTGTAGCGCGCCATCTCGCTCTTGGTCCACATCCAGCCCATGTGGCAGGGCACCTTGCAGTAGCCGGAGCAGGCACCATCCGAAATGCAGGCCGTATGCCCGATCCGGGGATCCGTTGGCCGCTTGTGCACCTTAAAGAAGGTGTAGCTGTGGGGGAAACTTTGAGCTTCTGTCGAGGATTTATGTCCAGGGATTTCTACTCACCACTTGGACTTGGGTCGTTCAACGCGCTTCTTGACACGTTTCTTGGGCGGTGAGGGATATGCCTTGTCAATCGCCTTGAGCTTCTTCTGCAACGCCCTGCGAGCCTTGGAAGACTTGGTGCCGCGGCAGATGGCATCGCACTCCTTGCGTAGCTTCTCCGCCTGGGCGTCTGCCGCGGCGGAGTCCTTCTCCCGGCCATACATGTTCCGCATCTCCGTGAAGATGGACACCAGCTGAGATCGTTCGTGCGAGGTAGTGGAGTTGGCCCGCTTTGGGTCATGTTCCTTAGCCGGGTGGGACTGGTCCTTGGACTTACGTGGGCCATGAGCATGGGCCTGGGGCAGCGAAGACTTTTTAGAATCGTTGTCCTTAGCAAAGTTCTCGCAGAGCTTGCGGATGCGACAACGGGTACAGGGCTGGCCGGAAACACAGAGGCATCGCTTCGGCATATTGGGATCATCATCAAGTGCGTCTCCTATTTCTCTATTCTGACTGATGGATGAGCCTTTTTCGCAAACCTCCTTCCGAAGACAATCCTGTAAGAGTTGCTGCGCCGTGGTTGTCAAATCGTAGGGTCCCTCACTAGGCGGGATGTCTTCGAAGGTCTTGTAGCCACAATATGGACAGGCGGCAATCTTGGGCAGCCAACTGATGTCCGATTTGCAGAGCTGGCAAAGGTGTCGCGGCTTATAGGGTTCATTCTTGAGCTGCGGCTCTGCGATGGGACACGGTCCCAGGATGCGGTGACGTGCCTGCTTTTCCATTGATGCGGTCAAGGAGAGAGCCTTCCTCTTTTTGGGTGGACGCTCCGGCAGGAAGTCATAGGGATCGCACGAGGAAGTGCTTTCCGGGGTGGATGTCTTGGAGCTATGCCAACGACGTGACTTTTCAAATGTTCGCGGCGGCTTGGGCACCTTGACCTGGTCCAGACCCAGCTCTTCGATTAGCTTCTTCAGAGCAACTCGCTCCTTTTTCTTTGCCTCCTCGTTTGCGTTGGGTGCCTCCATGCCGGGCCTATAACATCCACATCCAGCGGCAGCTCCGCCCTTGGCCTCTGCATCCTCAGTGGCCTCATGGGGACATGGACTGGGTGCTCCGGCATGCGACATCAGACGCTCATCCGTGATGCAAGTGCTGGTGCCACATTTGCCCGAGCGACCCAGAGTAAAGATGATGTCTCTCTTACTTATGTCTCGCTCAGAGGGTCGACATACGTCATACGTGCCAAACGGAACCAGGACTTGGCTGGAGAGGATCGGGAATATGATGCGGATCTTGTCAGCAAGAAACCCTTTGTTACTCACTTGATATCCGGATCGGAGGAGCTGATTTTCACGATGAGCTCAACAACACATATCGAATTCTTGCCCTTGAACAGCTCCACCATAACGCTCTGGGTCACCGAGAAGGCAGGATCCGTCAGCTGACGCAGAATTGTGGGACCCAGCATAAAATTTCCAGCGGCAACCTGCTCCTCATTCTCCGAGAGGCCCACACAGACGCCCCTGGTGGTAAGTGATCCGATCAGCTCGCAGGGACTTGTCGTAAATTTAGCCATGGCGGGTCCCTCAGGGAAATGCTCCACAAAGAGTCGATCGGCTGGAAGATCCTCAAAGTCATCGAAGAGCCGGATGCTATACATACGACCTCCATCCGCTCTAAGGCTATCACTTATGAATTCGGGACCCGGCAGAGTGGAGGTCACCAGGATGGCGTCAAAGTAGTAGGTCTTCTTCATTTTTGAGGAAATAGTTCTAAAATCGATTTACGAATTTACTTCACTTATCTATAGATTTAGCTGAAACAGAGTACAATTTTTTAAATAAATAAAAAACTACAATCGAAATAAAAGCGAAGTATACGGAAACGGTTAAGACTATAAATGGGAATCAAAGAGAAACCTAAACTGAGGCTTTGGCAGATTCGGAAGAGGTTACTTGGATCATTGAAACTTGACATCAAGATATATTTTAAAAGATATAAATAATTGTATATATTATAATAAAGAATTGAAGGAAGCTTTTCCAAGACCACTTTCCCTTAAAACAAATTCAAGATAAGAACAAACTTTGGTGCCTTTTCTTATCGCAAATTAAATTATCAGCTGCAAAGAAATTAACAGATGTACTTTTAAACCCATGTACTTCAGGCACTTCTATATAGCCTTGCCTCTCTCGTAATTTCTCTATAGCTCAAGAGGTCAGTTTGTTTTGATTGCGATTATAAAAACTTGGACTATTACGCTCCCTTATCATAAATGAAATAATAGCCGAGCCCCGTTTAAGGTCCACTCACAGGTGACACATGTCCAACATATATACCCGACACTTTCACTATAAATAACTTGAGCAAAAACATACATAATTCTTGGTTTAGTATGAGTAAATGAGTAGCGTGTAATTATTGCCAGAATAATTTAAGATTTACACAATATACGACTATACGTTTAACAACAGGGATGTAAGTGTAGCTTTTCTTCTCGCAAAGGTAACTAGGGATTTTGAACTGCACTCCTGGTGGCATTGAGGTGTGTGCGTAATGCTAGTGAGGGAAGGAATCCTAATTTGCAGATCCTGCCCAGCTGCGTTCCTGTGGCTCTGGGGAGATTGGAGTTCCCCCTTACTGCCTGGCATTGATAATATCCACAAACTCAGGCTTGAGGGAAGCACCGCCCACAAGGAAGCCATCAATGTCGGGCTTCTTGGCCAGCTCCTTGGCATTGGCAGCGGTCACAGAGCCACCATACTGAATGCGCAGATTGGCGGAGACCTCCTTGGAGATGTTGTCAATCAGCCACTGGCGCAGGAAGGCATGAACTTCTTGGGCCTGGAAAGGGGAAGAGATTGAGCATTAGTACAGGGAAACCTCTTTTCTTGGTAATATTATGGCACCCACCTGATCGGGAGTGGCGGTCTTGCCGGTGCCAATGGCCCAGACGGGCTCGTAGGCCACCACCACATTCTTCCAGTCCTTGATCTTCTGGGCATAGGCGCACATCTGGCGGGCCACCACCTCGTTGGTCTTGCCAGCCTCACGCTCCTCCAGGGTCTCACCAATGCAGGCAATCACCTTGAGTCCCTCGGCCAGGGCATGCTCAGCCTTCTCGGCAATCAGCTCATCGGACTCCTTGAAGATGGCGCGACGCTCCGAATGGCCGAGGATAACCCAGTCGGCACCGATGTCCTTCAACATGGCGGGCGAAATCTCACCGGTGAAGGCACCCTTGGCCACCTTGTAGGCATTCTGGCCGGCCAGACCCAGTTCGCAGGGCAGCAGATTCCTGGCATACATCAGATAGATGGCCGGGCAACCGATGACCACCTCGGTGTTGGGATCCAGGGCCGAGCCCGACAGGGTCTTGCAGATGTCGGCGATGGACTTCTGGTCGCCGTTCATCTTCCAGTTGCCTCCCACACAGAATTTGCGGCCACTCATGTTGTTGCTGTTGCTGTTGGCGGTGATGATGTTGTCGGTGCTGAAATTGGCAAAGAACTGCCGGAATTGAAGGGAAACGGAAGTCAGTGAATTTGTGGGAATTTGGAAATTAACGATTTGATTGGAGTTTCGCAGGTAACTATGAAATCCCGGCAAGATAGGGGCCCGGTACACACCCACCTCGAAGTCCGTCTGCTGATGATGTACTAACCTTCTTCTGACCTTCGTACGTCTTCCACTGGCACTTGAAAAGCTTTGGGAAAACAGCTGTGAACTTCCCCAGCAGAGCTTGTGAAACGACGGCCTTTATCACGTCCGCCGTCACACCGCTCACGGACGGTTGGTTCGCGTCCATGCTGCACGAGCGGGTAAAGTAATGACTCTGGTAATGGGTTGGGATCCAATAGATACTCTGAATATATCTGTGTATCTGTTTAAATGCATCAAAGTTCAGAATTCCCAATATCTATCTACATGAGCATTCCCAAGTATATTTGAATAACATTATAAGTAACATTATATAAGCAGCTTGCTGGCATTTTTATTGAAAATATATTTCAGTATATATTTCAACCCAGCGGGGGTGGTGCTTAATGGAAACGTTTTGTCGTTTCTTCCAATAAGCTTTTGCAGAGCTTTTGCTGCCTAATAGGCTTGCCACCCCTTTGGAAACAAGAAAAGATACTAAAAAGATACTTTGGTATTTGTATCTTATGGATACATTTCATGTTCCAAAGGAATTTATCGTAACATATTTGCAGAAATGAAAATAGATAGATAAGGCAGACATTTGTAAAATAATTAATTATGTAATTAAATTATCGTACAGTAAAAGTATCTTTTGGATACATTTATGTTAAAAGTTAAAAATAACAAAGATATTACTCCAAAAATGTTCAATATTAACCACAGTTAAGCTTTAAAAAAGTAGTAAACGCTGTGAAGGAGTCGTTTCCGACCCTATAAATCATATATATTCTTGATCAGAATCAAAAGCCGAGTTGATCTAGACATGTGCTGCGGAAAAATAAAATTTGAAATTTTTTTTTCAAAATTTGAAAATTTTATAAGGGGTTACATCATTAAAATTGTCAAAAATTGGCAAAAAAAGCAATTTTTTTAAATATAAAACCGAGTATGCAGATTTATTAACCTAACAAAAACTGATATAAGAACGGTTTCCGAATTAAAATTAACGCATTTTTGACTGAGTTATGATAAATTTTCTATACAAGGGATAGGACTTTCAGCCTTTTCCCGAACTTGACTTTCTTCATTGTTATTATTAATATCATTAGCACAAATCAAAACAATCCCTTTTATACCTTTTGTTTACATTCTTGTGTAATCGCTTTATTTAACTTCAATTGAAATTCATGTCGCATGGCTTAACTTGGTTTTCACAGACGTTCAGGTATACATAAGCAGACATAAACATATGTACGGCACACAGTAACAGTAACAGCACATACAGTACGCACTAAGGTACTCTAACAACATTAAACATTATTTACATATAATATAATTAACTACTCCATAGAAACGTCAAAATAAATGCGCGTAACTTCTAATCTCAACACATGTACTGAGGAAATCGTTGCAGGACGCGTAAAGGATTTGTAAAGACTTGAAGAAGTATCTATAAGTGAATGACTTTGTAGCATACCTTTCAAGTATTTCAAAATCCCCAACTATTTACCTGGCTCTCCAGATACTTATGTGTATATGTCACTACCCAACTAATTGATCTAGATCCGATGGAATTTGACAACTGTTTACCTAATCCGACAGAGAGACAGAGCTAATGAGAGTTGGGAAGTACTTAACGTAAAAGCTTTGACTTGCGAGTATTTCCTCATCATCCTTCCTTGTCCTGACCCATCTCCTCCTCCTCCTCCTGGCGACTGGTGACCTCCGCCCCTCCCCAATTGGAGGTCAACTTTCCGCTCTGGTCGCCAGCAGGGAAGGCGATGAAGTGGTCAGCACCGACTCCTCCTGGATAACGGGCGGCGGAGATGGTGTGGGTGAGGGCGTGGAAGCCGAGGAGGAGGCCGTTGATGAGGCAGCCCTGGGAGCGTGTGGCTGCAGGAAGTGGAACAGGTTGGAATGCTGCATGAAGTTGCCCACCGATCGCAGAGGACTGAAAAAGTTCTCCGGCGGTGGTGGAGGCGGTGGATGGTGGTGGTGTGACTCTCGTTGCTCGCTGGGATTACCCCCGGATCCCTTGGCTCCTGGAGCACTGGCATTGCAGTTGCAGGACCTGCTCTTCTTCAGGGAGCTCCTTGTCATTGCCGTTCCCTTGCGATACTTGGGCTTGTGACCAGTTTGGGCTCCAGGATTTGCTTCGCTGTCTATGACAAAGACTCCTGCGCTGTCCTGGGGGGCAGAACTGGAGGCTGCCGGCAGGCAGTGGGCGCTATTGGAGTTGCCCGCAAAGAGCTTGGCCCTCAGCATGGCCGGGAGGGGTCCATTTGTAGGTGAGGTTTGGATGGAAAGTGGTCTATCCCTAGTCTCCGTTTCTGTGGATAGCTCCTGCAGATTTCTCTCAGGAAGTCTAGAATCCGTGTCATCCGAGCGTAGCTTCTCCCGCATGACCAAAGCCAAAGAGCGTCGCAACTCCACGGGATCGACGCCAGTCTGCTGGGGATTTGGAACAGAGCTGGCTGGCACAAAGACATCTTCGAATTCCAGATCGTCATCGTTGTCGTCGTCCTCCTCCTCATCCTGGCTAAAACTATAGTTGTGGTTGTCATACGAGGCGGACGGAAGAGAAGGCTTCACAGGATGACCAGAAGGAGGAGCAGGTGTAGGAGCCGGTGGCGCCGTGGAGCTGCTGCTGCGCTGCGAGACGGGAGCTGGCGAGGGAAACTCGTAGCTGGTCTCACCCAGCTCGGCGCCACTAGAGGCCTCCACAATGTTCCACATCTCCCGCTCGATTTCCGTGGTCACAGAGGCCACGGCGGCCACCGTTTGATTGATGTTATTAAAACACGGAGAGACGACACCGCACTTGGGCAGGAGCTGTGAGTTCTTCAGAGCCTCCTGTTGCTGCCTCAACCAGATGGGTGAATCTGCAAGGGGATGGAGTACCAAGTTAGAGAGACTGGCAGAGCATCCTGCAGGACAACGCGCACTCACACTCACCCACATAGAGGCGCGGCTGCGTGGAGCGCATATTGGAGTCCATGGACTGCAGGCGGTGCTGGCTGGCCATCGAGAAGCGGTGAATGGCCTCCGCCTGTTGGTCAATGTCCACGCCCATCATCCGCAGCAGAAGGTTCTTCAGCGCCGCCCTGAAATCCTTGAGGTGATAGGCATACAGGACAGGATTCACCGCCGAATTGAGATGCGTCAGGATAATGCAGAAGAGCGTGAGCTTTGGGTGCACATAGCACTGCGGACAGAAGGCCTTGATGCAGTTGATCGTGTACAGCGGTATCCAGCAGATCATGAAGAACAGCACAATGATGGACAGGTTCTGGGTGGCCTTAACATCCCGCTTTCTGGCGGCACCTAAGACACGAAGCATAGTGCCCGCATGGCCCCCTCTGCCCGGTGTGGTCACCTGAACGGCCGCCGCCGAGGAGCGTCGACTGAGATCCGAGGCAGGGTTCATGGTCACAATCTGACGGACCTACAAGCCAGTTAAGATATATATTATATTCTTCATTTTCAGAATCTCGTCTAGACTCACCTGCTTGATGATGACCCTATAGATGTGCGTGTAGAATGCCAGCATGAGCAAGGCCGGAGTGATGATCGTGGCAAAGTAGAGAAAAACGAGGTAATCATAGTCCATCACCTCAACGAATAGACACTCCTGGTTATCTCCTACATCGGCATGCCAGCCGAAGAGGGGCAGGAAGCCCACTATTGTACCAGCCACCCAGCACATCGAGATGATGACTGCAATGAGAAGAGAGAGATGAAGGACATGGGTTCATTGGAGGCCACAAACTGACCGAAGCCCGTCAAAGGGAGTAAAAGAGCTTCCCTGGACGTCATATGAGCAGATTGCAGAAATCCCCCAAGCAATCTTTCTCCTCCACTGAGTTCTAACTTAAGTTTTATTGAACCGAAGCCAACAGGAAACCGGGGAGTAAATGACGCACATAATGTGGCTCTTAATCACTCATAGTCTGAAGCACCAGTTGGAAACATATTTGTGCTAAATAGCGGCCGAGTTATAATTTGTAACCTTTAAAGATTATGACACTATTATTATAGAATTACATACATATGCATTAAATTTCTTCTTAAGTTTATGATTCATTATGAGGAGTACTTCGAGATTAGAACAGGCGATGTAGTCATTAATAACTGACCGATTATTGAGTTTCCGGACTGCATTTGAAGTTGTGATAAATATAATTTAAATTGTAAACATTTTTTAATTCAAGCATTATAATTTTTACTCTCTGGAATAAACTTTGTGGTCCAAAGTTAATCTTTTGTATTTGAAATATTAAAGAGCTTCTGTATTATAGATTTTTCCATCGGCTTCTCTGCCATCTGCTCAATTGCAGGCCTTTGTCTTAGCGAAGCCACAACTCAAACATGGCCAATAGAAACCGGCAAGGAACAATGTGCCGCATATTAGCCATCCAGAGTCATTAACAGCTCTGCAACAATGGCGCAATACAAAACAATGGACAGTAAAAGGCATGAATACTTTGACAATAACCCTGACAAGAGATGAAAAACACATGGCCAAGAAGATTTCGTGTTCAAAGAACTGATTTTAATAGCAATGTTTTCTCTCAAGGATCTCCCTCAAAACTTTACTTACCAATTGCCGTGCGTGTCCTCACATTCCGCGAGTAAGCCATCGGATAGAGTATGGCCCAATATCGGTCCACGGAGACGGCCACCAGGCAGAAGATGGAGATGGTGCACAGAACTACCAGCAGGGAGCAGGTGAAGAGACAGGCGTGCAGATTCCGCGGCAGTCCCAGTGAGGCCAGGATGGCGAAGGGTATGCCCAGGCTGCCCACCAGGAAGTCGGCCATGGCCAGCGATACGATATAGTAGTTGGTGCGCCTTCGCAGTTTCCGCTCCCTCCGGAAGACAATGATCACCAGGACGTTGCCAATGATGCTGACAATGGCCACCAGAACCTCGAAGACGGTGTAGGGTATATTCAGCTCAGAGCTGGGACTGTCCGACTCCTTTGCCTCCCGACTTGTGGTGGCGGCAGCATGCAGCGGCGGCAGTGGTCCATTAAAGGTAAAGTCCGTGATCGAGAAATAGCGAAAGGCGGACATTTTCGAAAGGTGCTTCAGAGGATGCCCTCTGCGATCGAGTATTCTAGGGTAGCAAATAGCAAAAAGGTGGGGAAGAAGAGAGGTACGGACGGTTACAGGTTTCAATTACAGTGTCCGTTGGCGTGTGAATTTCTTAATTGACTCGAGGTGGCCGTGGCAGTAGCAGCGATAGTAATAACACATGCTGCGCATTGCGTATACGCCATGTCCGCCGCCCTGCGGTTGCCCCTTCCGCCGCTTCGCTTTCGCTTTCTCTGTTTTGCTGTGTGCTTTCTGTACACTCTCTGTGTATTTATTGTTGTCACATGGGCAGCGTGCTGTATTTAGCTGGAAAAAAGGAAACAACACATATAAATAAAAGGGAAAACTTAATCATCGTTCGGCACGTTTGTCACACACACGCACACTCGGTTAATTGTATCAATTTTTTAGTGTAATAAATTGATAAATATTTGCCAAAAAAAGAACATACAGATATCGATAAGGCGGGAAAATAACAACAAAAACGCCGCTAACCAAACTATGCTACACCCTAGATAATCAGCAAGTGTCCTTGAGTCTATTATTCTGTGTGTGTGTGCCCTATCAATTGCAGGACTCGCCTTCAAGTATGCCCAAGGATTAGATTGAAAAATGTTACAACTTCCAGGGCTTTATGGCAATTGGAATGGTCTGGCCTGGTATGGATATCTATACCCACAACTCCATGGGTAAACGCAGTTATCAGATTCGTGTGCTGCAAATACCAAGCTCTAAAGGCAAACAAGTCCAGCCAGCAACACAATCAATTGCCAGACAATCGAACGTGGTGCTGCGGAACATAATAAAAATGTAGCAAAAAAAAAGACAGAGAGAAAAACACAGAAACAGACGTCTCATAAATAAAAGGACATCCTGCACTGAGAAAAAATTAGTTGCTTTACCTAAAATATACTCTATAAACTTTAACCTAAAGGAGTACCATATTCTATCTGTATTCCTTTTAGTTTGTAGCAAGTTTAACTTTAGTTTTAATAACTAAACCAATTAATTCAAGTGTATTTGTCCATAGAGTGTCTGTTGTTTGCACTAAACTCAAGCGGAGAGCGAGGAGGATGAAAGGAGGCTCCGGGATTTGTCCTGCAGGAAGTCGAGGCGAGATATCAAAGAGCGTGTGAATGGCTCGCTGGGCACTCGCGGTTACCAGCCGGAAGCCGTCACTCAGAGCCAGAAGTTGGTTCGGAAAATGGAAAATGGCTGATGGGAAATGAGTAAAAAGCGAGGGAGCAACTGACTGGCTGACTGCTCAATCGAGTGTTTTGGCGGCGAGAGTGCATCCATCAAGCCATGACAACAATTCGCGGGACATGAAAACGTTTTCCATTTAATTGGCCCACCTTTTGCCTAGCCGCCGATACTTTTCCCACTTTTCCCCAGCTAACCAGCTAACCGCCTTGCGATTCATCAAGTGAAAAGTGGGAAAAGTGGGAAAAGTGAATGGCGGCGGCCAGGGATGGGGCGGGTAATAGGGGGTGGTTATTGTACTTCATCAACTGAGAGCACTTAGAGCCACGGTAGTTAAACTCGGTGAAGGGAAGCCAAGGGAAAGGGCTTGTCGAATTAACGCCGTTATTTAGCCAGCCCTTATGGCAGACACCCACTTATTGCCCAACTTATTGGCAATGGAATTTATGTATATATGTAATAAAAGGAGTTTCGGGAGGAGAGAGGAAGTGGTTGCTGCCTGGTGACTCCCGGAGGACAGAGGAATCGCGTGCTGGGTCGCGGGTCGACATTCACCAGGAGCAGGTCGATTCGCTTAATTGCCTTTTGCCTAATTAATTCAATCGCGAGGGGCGCAACAGGCAGCGAAAGCGACATTTGCATTTCCATTTCCAATTCCAATTCCATTCCCCCGCATTTCAGTTAAAAACTCAATCAACAAATGGCTCAACGATTGCCCGATTTAATTAATTTGGCAAACGCAATTAGCGATCGTGGCCAAGGGCTGCGTGAGGCCAATTCCAAAGTGTTGTCCCCAAAAAACAAAGGAGAGAGAGAAACTTGGGGTCAGTGCACCTGACACCTACCATCTTATGGGATGCACAGAGAAAAAATATGTAAACAATGTTGAAAAAGGCTTATAAAATATATATATCTCATTAAAATATAGGTTTAAGGGGTTGAAGTTGTTATATTTGAAACTACTTCTTCAGGTGCCCTTTGAAACCAGTTGTTCTTTCTCGAACTCCTACAAATATCTAAATAAATTATTATAAAAGAATCGATTGGTGTGGTTTGCGCAGTGTAACTATAGTTTTTTCAAATTCATTTGGCGAATTCATTATGACACGCTACCAATGACAAGTCGTAGCTCAATCACGAGCTGTGACTGAGGCTCCTAACGCGTTCATAATTTGAATCGCTCTCTAGGACAAGTTATGGCATACGTGACTGGGAATCGCAATCGATGGTGGATTTAAGTAGCCAGAGCAGAAGCAGCTTTGCTCCAGTTCAAGGCAATCCCCGGTGCTCCTTTGCAGATCGCATAACTCATACGCCCCGTCGTCCTCAAGAAAAAACAAGTGTTCAAACTTTTCGCGCATTTGTCAGGCTCATGAAAAGAAGGTTTTGGAATGAGTTTCTTTCCCCCAAGGCAAGGCCTTTACGCTGCCTAATCCTATCTCTCCCTCTCCAGCCAGTACAAGGGCTGTCAAAATCAGTTGGCATTAAGTTTATTACCATGTCGCCATCGAATTGGCCACATTGCTGGCCTTGGCCAAGGAATAACAGCCAGAAAAGTGTTTCCAGCTGGATGCATCGGCACTGCATGCGTTTGCCTTTTACCCCTTTTACACTGAGAAAAATATTTGAAACACATTACAAGAAATGAATCGATATTTTCATATGCTTTTATTTTGGTTAAATCGAAGTTTTTCAACTATCATAACTAAGCCAAAAATGCATTAAATTCAAATCGGAAAGCGTTTCTGTACTAGGTTTTATAGGGCTAAAAAATCTACATACTCAGTTTTTCAATTAAGAAATGTAAATTTTTTGTCAAATTTTGACAATTTTAATGACGTAACCCATTATAAAATTTTTAAATTTCGAAAAATTTTCAAAAAATTTTTTTTTCGACCGGACATGATTAGATCGATTCAGCTGATGATTCTGATCAAGAATATATATGATTTATAGGGTCGGAAATGGATCCTTCACTGTTTTGCAAGCTTCTTAACAACTTAGGTACTTGATGGTTTTTTCTCTCAGTGTTTTTGCTATTTGAGCTGCTTGCTGGCAGATAAAGTGCGTTTCTATTACACGACGCTATCTGCGCGAGGGTGCTGAAAAATGACGGCAGTGATAAGGAACGCAAGGACCAAGGACCAAGCACACGGACTCCGTGCATGCTCTGGGAAAAGTTGAGTTTTGCCGATAGCTATGAACTCGCAGTAAACACGTTCTCCAGCTGCTGGCTCGGATTCAAATGTATCCGGAATGAGGCGAAACTAAATCTTCCTGCGGCTGCCTGAACTTTAAGCGGGCTCTCCACTTTATGCCTTATGTGTGTATTTTTCCCTCAGGCCATTTGTCTTCGTTGCGTTTTTTGTGCGTGGTCATCCGGCGTCGCTTTCACACGTTTAATTACGGCAAAACGAGAAGCTGCAGATGCACAGAACCCTCCTATATACATATATATTCTACCCCCGACAATGAATCGCAATTCTTTTCTGCCTTTGGAAAGCCGGCAAATTAATTGGGGAAAACTTCTTGATGGCCTGGGCTGATTGCACTTTGCATGGATCTGGTGTAATTGAGAATCCTTCTAAATGGAGCCTAATTCATCAATGGAGTCAGTCAAGAATTGCAATAAGCATTGATTCTAGTCGATTCGATTGATGGATATATCTGTTTGTACATCACAAAGTGATTAGACATATATGTATATTTGTTCTGTAACTATATTACAAAATCCCCCTGTCTAGTGCATGTAAACTCAGTTGGGAAATCAACAAGAACCGGCTTTAACCGGATGTGAATGAAATATAAATATATCCTAGTGATATCTACAGTCGCTGGAATGAAACAATAAATAGCTCAAGTCCTCACACGTCACAGGTAGCTTATCAGGATGGCCAATATCGGATTCCGGAGCATTACTGCCCCTATTTGATTGCCCGATTCCGGCGGGGATTGCATTACCATTCCATCTGACACGTTGGCATCACGTGCAGGCATTGCATCAGTTATAGAAATCGGTAATGTACAGCGTGATCTCTCTAGTATATTGACTTCTTGAAATAGCTCAATAGTGGCGGAGTAATAGTAATAGTTTTACCCAGCGGACAAGTCCTTCATTGTCTCCCAGGCACAAGTGACGAGGTTCCCATGTCAGGCACTGGCACGTTGATAGATAACTCTGTTAAAAGAAGCAAAGAGGGGTCGGGTTGTGGTCTGGCAGATACGCGTAAATACGCCGGACTAGCAAAAGTCCCGGGTGAATAATCACCAGCACGGGTCACAGTGGAGCAAGAATATAAATTATTACTTAAAGAGATGTGGAAAGTCTTAGGACACATTAGTCAAACAATAGGTAGCTATCTTTTTAATATGGTAAACATTTCATAGATATATTTATTTTGATAGTTATTATATTAATTTGATATTTCCCAACCCACTGTGGTGGCAGGATGACTCCCAATTCGGCAGTTGACAATCGCCAATCGGCAATCGGCCTAAGAGTTATATGGCAGCGACACGAGTAAAGTCCAGCGGCTACCGCATTTCCCGGTGACAAACACCAATCACAATGACAGTCACAGTGACAGCAATAGTGATAGTGCACTCCTCCTGCCTTTTGTCACAAATCCAGGTGAGCAATCGCTAACGAAGCAGCTGGAACTGCGAGATCAGCTTTGGGCCAAAATGCTTATCAGGCCTTTTTTTTGGCGGTGTAAACATATGAGTAAATTGTGCGTAATTAAATGTTATGAGTTTGTTATCTGTGTGCCTTGTTTTCGATGCTTTTTTGGGGCCAGGTCCCAGGCTGTCTCCCAATTATTTCTCATCCGTATGCGGGACACATCAGTGGACTGGACAGTCGAATCAATCAAGCTGAAGCTCTGGCCAGTCCCCATTACCATTTTGACATATATTTCACAATACTAGGCATTATGGTCGTCATCGCCGTACCATGCTGCGTATGCGTAATATTTCATACGCCCCGTATTCCCCAGATGCAGCCCCAACCCCAGCGCCAGCTGCCATCTTAATTTCATTTTCTATTTCAGTGGAAACCATAAAGGAGCTACCACCCCGGAGGACACCCCATTTCGCCATTCCTT